TGAATACGTCGGTATCCCAAATTACCCAACATGCCCCTGCAGCCCTAAACCAAATCGTATTCTCAATGAAAGATTTTATGAATACGAATGCTTGAAATTTGAAATGAAGCCCAAACTGTCGTAGTCGTATGGATAGATTCATCAGTATTAGTCCTTTAATGAGTAACTTAATTACTATTACACTTCCCCCTTCCATTTCTTTTATTCTTCCCCATCAACCCTACTCTATTTTGTCTTGCTCCTCCTCTCGATTCTCCACTCATGTTGATGCTTCGGTTTATTGGAACTTTGGATGATCCATCATAGCCAGCAAAGCTCGTGAGGCAATGAATACTGAATCCAAGGAACTAGGTGACCCAGGAGACAAAGATTGCGATGGGATACCTGATGAAATCGATGAAGATATGGACAATGACGGCATGCTGGACAGAACACAAGACTCGGACTGGGATGGCACACTCAACTGGGTAGACGATGATGATGATGATGATGGTGAGTTTACTATCTTCACATCGTCTGACCGTTTTTGCGAAAAAAAGTTGGGTTTTGCACAATCTATTGTTTCATAATTGTTTAGCCTACTTCCATTTCGAGTGAAAGTGTTTGGTGAAGAGATTCGAAGGTCTATTCCACCAGAAGACAACGGCGGATTCCTTTTGACCAGCTGTCGATTGGCTTTACTGGAAGATAATGCTGACGCTGTTTCCAAGGTAATCTCCTTTGATTTTGGTGAAAAGGTGCTAAGCTTTCGTCCGCCACACGACCAATATCATCAGAGCAAGGTATCATCGCTACAACCCAATTCAAGATGACGAGTCAAGAAAACTCACCGGAAAATCCTCAAAAAGCTCTCTATATATACTCTATATCTGGCCTCTTTGATGAGGTATAAAGTAGTTTGGTTAGTTACGGTCATATGTCAATCTCGAAGCCTGTGAGTGAGTCTTTCTCTGTAACTGTATGCGCCGGTTTGTGTTCACTTATGCAGTGATGGCTCAGAGTAATGAGGACAGCAAAAATAACGTCTGTTTTCGGTCATCAAGGTTTGATGACCTCTATTTCCTACTTTCTACAAATATGTTATAACCATCACACGTCTGGTTTTGTTGATGAGCCCCTTTTTTGTTTGTGGTCTTAATGCGAGAGAGAAAGAGTGAGCTAAAAGTGCAGAGAAGTGACTATGATTAGAACCAAGACAAGAAAAGACTATGCGAAGAAAAGTTGGGTTTTAACGAATCTTTTGTTTCTTGATTGTTGAGCTTACTTCCATTTCGAGTGAAAGTGTTGGGTGAAGAGATTCGAAGGTGCTATTCATGGATAGATTAGGTGGCCTTAAGGTTGAGCTCTTGCTCAGATTTGCTTCCTCAATTATTTCTCGGTGATCATCTAGGCTGAGTGTTATTGCTTCAATAGCCTTCTGAACTGGGATGTTAGTACAAATTGATACCACATCGAAACTAACCAAAAGATCCTATTTAATACTATGTTGATCTATCCATCTAACAAATTCATATGAATTCTTCACTGAATATTTACAATACTCAGCCACTTTCCTTAATTGTCTGCATAAGAAACGTGAAATTCTATGCATCACAGTTCCCTTATTATTAACAATCACTCTTAAAAGAACTACTTCCTTGTGTATTTTTGCAAGGCCATAAGCCGAAGGTGCCCTAGCATCCCTCTGAAGAAGTTAATTCATTTTCCATTTGTCAGTTTCTCCTCTGTTTACACAAACATTAAGCGATTCCCTAGGCCTGGCCTTAAGGCTTTCACTAAAAGTCTCTAAGTTTCTGAGTCATTTAAATGAAGCATCCTTTTTTCTATATAACTTTACCTATCCATGATGGCCACTGTCCCATCTTTACGAGCCTTTCAAAACAAACGGATCATTTTAGTGCACATATCTAGAAACATTATTCAATTCATACGAATTCCTTGGGATAATTACCTCATCGAAATGTGGAATCCCTTCTCTTTCTATTCTATTCATTGCATCTTCTAGCAACTTGCCCGTTAAGTTTATTAACTCAACCAGTATCTCCATAGAATGATTTTGCTCATTTGGAAAGGTAAAGTTTAGACCCCTTTCCAAGACGAGCGTAACATTAGCATTTATAGATATACTGGACAAATTAATGAGTTTATTTTTGCTAGAAAAAATATTACAAAGTTTAACTACCTCCTTATTGTTTCGACGATTCCTTGAGCTGATGTTAATGCCTAAATTCCTTAATTTCTCATCATGTCGGGATCTACGGACCTTAGCAGCTTTTCACCGGAATCGATAGAGATTACCTCGGAAACAGCGTCGGCATGAATGTTTAGTAAAGCTAATCGACAGCTGGTCAAGAGGAATCTGCCGTCGTCTTCTGGTGGAATCGACTTTCGAATCTCTTCACCAAACACTTTCACTCGAAATGGAAGTAAGTTGACCGTTTTTGTCTTAATCACATATTCAACGCAAAAACCACCAATCAGTGTAAAGCAACTTAATTAAACAATGCAAAATAAGTTAAATTGCTGGAGAATGCGTGATGATCTGAATTGAGAAAGAATAAATGCATTTATTCTATAATAATTTACAAGTAAATTTGCTATACTGACCTCATAAGTGGCCAACTTAAGCCTTCAATTAGGCCACATCCTATACTTTTTATTAGTGACTTTAGTCAGAAGTGATCAGGGAATCTGGCTATAGAGCTGAAAATATAACCATTTGCCGCTATATTTCACCCTATTTTGTTACCAATAGTTATGCTCAGAATAGATTGCAGTTTGTACTATTACCTAGGCCTCATTTATGAAAATGTGAGCTGGCTGAAAAGAATTCGTGAATTGGTCTCACCGGAAAACTAAGAAGAATTGCCATTGCAAACTTTGACAAAAAATGTTCTCTCACATTTTGCTGAAGGAAGT